AATAAGGAAAATAGAGAAGAGTTTATATTTAGAAGTATAAAAATGGAAGAAATTCCCTTCCCGTGAAGAAACTTTATCAAAGCTAAACACGGAAAGTTCGCCCCAGCTGTACGAGGTGCTCTAAGTTCCCATGCAGGTCCGCAGGAGACGCAAGTCAGAGTGCAGGATTTTTTTCTTCCTCTCACTTGTAAAAATGTTCCTGTTTAAAGAGACCTTAGGGAAGCATCTCCCATGCTCCTCAAAGTGAGTTGCGTGAATCAGCAGCATCAGCATCAGTAGGGAGACCTTGTTTGATATGCAGAGTCCCAGGCCCCTCCCCCACCCCAGGCCTACGGAATCAACATCTGCATTTTAACAAGAGCCTCGTGATTTGTGAGCACATCCAGCTTGAGAAACACAGATTTAGATCTACAGTTCTCAAAAACATGCTCTAAGCAGATATAGGATCCAAAGGCCTCCTCGGGGCTGTGGGAGAGTGTGTAAGCCAGCGTCCCTCCATCACATGAAGAAAGATTGACTCTGTGCCATCTATCTGGGCTACTAGGCAAGGTTTCGTTGGAACAAAGGATATGTGACTTAAACTTTTTTTTTTTTTGATTAAAAAAAGAAAAATTTGAAAAACAATAATCGAAGTCATTTCGTTTTCACAATGGGGGACCTGAGTAACAGAAAACATGTGACTTTGCCTAAGTCCTATGCTGGGAAGATGATGGGACAGTGATGCTGTTTAAGTCACCTGATCCCAGCCTCTTTCCACTTCCCCACTGTTCGTCGCAGAAAGTAGCACTAAACACCAGAAATTTCCATTGAACTGTTCGTCAAGTGCCATCGTGCACCACAGATGTCTTCCAGCTGGGCTTTGAATTTCAAAATCAGTGCCTTTTCTTTCACAGTCTTTTACTGTGTATGAGCTTTGCTGTCTGAGCTGGAAGAGGGGTCTCCAGCTGCACTTTTACGTATACACTGCTAACTGAGGGTACCCTGCAGGTTCGTTGATGGATATTTCAGCTGATTATCTTGCCGCAGACCATTGAGATGGATCCGGATAACTGTTCAATTAATAGTACTGAAGGAGTAATTAGAGAGAGTACCAGATCGCACAGTCCGCCCCAGTGCTGACGTATCACCGTGAACATCGACTTCTGAGTGTGATTAATCACATAAAGAATTCTCCAAAACGAAATCAGAGATCACCCACACATTACGCACAGTAATGTTTTAAGGCATTACTTCCTGAATCTCTGTAATGAATTACACTCTAATCTGGTTTGAATTTTTCCATTTTCAGCATACATCCTGCTCGATTAGCAGGTGATCCTACAGCCCCTGTCAGTTTCTGCAACAATTTGAATTAGCTATTCTAGGAAGAAGACAGATTTGAACATGTATAAGCCTCAAGTAAGACATATAAATGCCTGGTCATCACCCATCACACTTTGTGGCAGAGCCAGACATAATGGCCAGGTTTTTGGACCCCTTTATCCACTGGCTAGATTTCTCATATAGCACCAACATCTTTAAGATTTTTCTATGAGAACCAAATATCCAGTCATTCCCTCACAGTCATTGTTTTCATTTGTAAAGAAAACTTTGCATATTGACAGAGAAAATAAATTTCAGTTAGAACTAATGTATATAGATTTCTCTTAAACTTAGAAATCCTAAAAGTTAGTGGAGAGAGGCAGAAGGGACCATAATCACAAGCAGCACCATACCGAGGAGTTTCTGAAACATTATTTTTCTACAATGTTAAAGTCAGTTATCTCAGGCAAGCAGATTTGAGGATCCAACGAGTTTAGACGACAAAGCCTTAGATAACATTTTACAAATGAGGAAACAAAGGCCCAGAGAAATTGGGTGATTCGTTTAAGACCATATAATTGACTTGTGATATATGAGAGTGTCCTATGAAGAAAGCAGAATTTCAGTCAAGTTTTACTCTTTGGCATTTTTAGGGATAAGATGGAGACATAGAGGAACTGTGAAAGAATGTAAAATCAGACCAAATTTTTAAAACCCCAGCTGCGTATTTGTTAGATTTGCGTATAAATTTTAAGTTACTATTATGGGAAAATATAATCTTTTTCTTTTAATCTAGTCAAAAACAACAGAGTAGCTAGAAACTTTTCAGTTTTGCACAAATAAAATAGTAGCCCTGAATAATTTTGTAGCTGTATTATACCTGTTCTATTCTGTTCACCTTTCCAGTGTTTATTTGAAACCCATGTTAAATCTCGCCTCCCTATAGGTTCCTCACTGTTCCAGACTAGGTTGTAGGTTGAGGATTTCTTTCCCCGGAAATGGTTTTTATCTCCCCATGAATTGGAAGCCATGTTCCATACCTTTCTTTAGTCATATGTTCTTCAACACAGCATTTAGCATCATACTAGACATTTCAGGTCTTTTAAATACTCTGTGCATTCTCTTTGCCCCAATAAGTCCACTTCTGACAGTTTATAAAAGGAACTAGAGATATGCCTATCAGGTGAATCGCAAAGATATCTATTATAACATTATTTATGTTGTCAAAATTTTTGGAAAAGCCATCAAAATCAAGTTGGCAATATAAATCCTGATTTAGTTGTAAGTAGTATACTCTATTAATGTTTAAAATAATTTTTTAGAGGGGTGTTTCATGAATTTTTTTCAATGTGTACTTGGGGAAAAAAGGAGCTTATTAAACAGTATATGCAATGATTTCATGTTTCTAGAAATGGATGTAAGTGATGTACACTGATAGTTGAAACAAATTATGTGTGAATGGTGAAATCTCTGGTGATTTTAAATGGTTTGGGGGTACTTCTATGTTTTTTCCTACAATGAGTAGTAAAAAAAAATCAAGAGAAATTTTCTTTAAAGCTATATAATCAATTCAGAAAATAAGTTAGTTTTGTGTTAACAGAGGAAGCTTCACTGTCCAATGTTTTTGGACTTTATTTTAAGGACCTCTGTGATGAGCTCATAAAGCACACAATAAATATTACCAATAATCCTGGAATCTTTCCACCTAAGACAATTATCAACTTTATTTCTGACTTATTAAAAGAATAAGAATGTTATATTAAAAAGAATGTTATATTTTTAAAACCGAAATAAAAATAGAACCATGTTCACGAATTTCAGTTGAGTTATACACAAACCACGGAATTTTAAGGAAGAATTTCTACAGTGGGAAGAATTAACTGTGGACGTAGATAGATCTCATTTTAGATCTTGGCTTTGTCAGTTGCTAGCTTTACAGGTTTGTGCAAAATGTAAATGATTGATTTGTGCATATCAAATGAGATCCTATACGTAAGTCACCTAGTACGAAGCATGAGATACAATTAGGAGCTTAACGAAATATAACTTCCACAAGCATCATCATCAGCATTCTTGTCATCTGTGCCCCTGTTTAATGAGTCACCTATAGCACCATATTTTTATGTGCTGGGTTGTAAATTGTTGCTAGATCACTGGGCTATACTTGCCAAGTGGACCCGCAGGCCAGGTGGGCCTCGAACAGATGGGAATTCAGAGTAAAGACTTAGTGAGCCCTTGACTCAGAGAAGGTAGGGGTAGTTGTGGCTTCATAGGCCCAGTTGTGAGGTCACTGAAACCAGAGTGGGGGTTATAAATAGTGAGCACGGCGGCAAATCAGTATTTTCCCACAAGCAGGAGTGACCACGAGTCACAGAGCTCATCTCCGCAGAGATGCTTCTTGTATTTCCATTGACGATGATTTTTAGTTCCAACAAATACACACTATTTTGCTATCTAGCCCTCTCTTAGTTTTACCTTGTTCTTTTGGAAAATAGGGATAATTCAGGTCCACTTACCTCATAGGGCTTAAACAGCTAATCCATACAAAGCATTCTGACCAATGTTATAGATGGCACATAATATTATTAGTAGGCAGAATGTCATTGGTATTTTTCCAGAAAGTAGAGTTAATACTCATTCCAACCTGACATAAACACTCTTATACAGCCATTAATCATCAACATTGGAATGTAATTGGCAAATCCAGAAAGCTACCAACTGCCAGGAGATCTACACTGAGATTTAACACTTTCACATTACAATTCTATAGATAGAAATAAACTTCCTTCAGTGTTTGTCGTCTTATTTACTCCAGAGTTGCAGGCGTTCTAATAAATGGAACAACAGTTTCCGGTGCTGTTGTGACCGTGACATACACTCAGTGTTTCAGCTGTTGTAACTTAGTAATTCATTTCTGTTTGTAAATCACAGGAGGTTTGTTTGATGGACGGAGCGCTGGAGAGAAATGCGCTCCTTTTGTCAGTACAAATATCCTGTATTTTAGGACTCGGGTCTACATGTGCAATTACTTAGTTCATCGGTTCAAGACGGTCCACGCCCTCTGCTGTTGGATGCTGTTTTCAGGGCTTGACATCTGTTCATTTTCAAGCACAAAAAGTAATATGTGAAAGTCTCTGCTTAATAAATAACTTCTTAAGATAGTAATGGATATTTCTTTCCATTCATTTGCCAGGAAGTCTAGCACCATCGAAGTACATTTCTGAGTACCCTGCAGAATTGGACGGGCTTATGTTTTTCAATGAATTAACAAATAAAAAGAAGCAATATCATTATTGATTTCTAGAGAAGAGAAAGTATTAGTGGCTACATATTAAGAAGATTTGTTTTTTGGTTTTTTTTAATGACAGTTCATTTTTGCCTAGTTATGTGTGGGCATTTATAGAATCTTTTAGACATAAATATGCATGAGACATAAAGGTTGCCTTTGAGAAGCTCTCAATCCTGTGGGGGCAGGTATGGCAAATGGACTGTCACTTGAGAGGTGCTGACAGTGCCATAATGAAATGCAGGCATGGGGCTTTGGCAGGTATATAATTCTGACCGTGGCGGTAATAAGAGATAATTTCACATGTTACTAAATTTAATTCAGACGTTGTTCTACAATATTTGGCAAATCAGTTTTTTCTGTGATGTGATCGTCACCCTGGTGTTCATTATTTCTGCATTTTCCCTTTTAGAGACGCCCAAGCAGATGGCCTGCGATGAAGTTTCGAAGAGGTTCTGGCCATCCTGCCTATGCTGAAGTTGAACCAGTGGGCGAGAAGGAAGGTTTTATTGTATCAGAGCAGTGCTAAGGTTTCTGGAACAGAACAGCACCAGTGCTGGCTTACAGGTGTTAAGACTAAAATTTGCCTATACCTTTAAGACGAACACACGCACGCGCACACACAAACACACACACACACACATACCTAGATACACGCGCGCGCACACGCACGCAAAAGAGCCCTAAGCTGCTGTAGCCTGAAGGAGACAAGATTTCTGGACAAGGCCAGCCCAGAAAGGGTAAAAGAAAAATTAACACTTATACAAGATACCATTTACCACTGAACGTAGAATTCCGCAGTGGGATGGCGTCTGTAGTTCACTCAGAATATCTCCGGTGGACTTATCAGAATTATGACAAGATTACAATGCTATCGGCTTAGGTGCAGGGTTGCAAAGGGATGGAAAAAAAAATAATCGTAACAAAGCTTTAGTTCATAAGGGATCTATACCTCTGGTTCAAATATACTTCTCTGGTGTCTCAAAGACAACTGTGTTCCAAAGCCTGAACCCTTTTCACCCAGAAGGGTGATGATGTTGAATGTTTCAAGATAGCTATGAAAAGTAGCTCATGCAGGAGCAAAAACCAACACAAAAGGTGGGGTTTCCTATCCTATCACCGGATGTGTGGCCAAAGGGTTTTGTTTTTCTGGTCTAGATCCACCTGTCCCAACAAGTTCATTACTTTATAGGACGAATCTTTTATCTGCACGGGAGGTGTAAACGATGCCTCCCTCTTCCCACAGTTGCTGTTCCTGGTTAATGCCCTTTCTATGAACGGTGACGGAATTTCCAAGCTTTTGGCTAAGGAGGAGGAAAGGGGGAGTGGCAAAGGAGGCTCTGGGTTCTGCCCCCCGCAGAATAAAACTTCTGATCAGTTTTGTGAAGCGTTGTCTCCATTTCCCAGCGGTGAAGTCCTATGAAGCCACAGTTGCTCTTGGCTGAAGGAAACGAAAAGATGGACAGTTCCTTAATCGTTTTTGAAACAAAAATGTTAAGGGGTTCGAAACATAGGGGTATTTTTTTAACTTTCTGCCATTTCAGTACTAAAGGCCCATTTCATTTGTCTGTCCCCGGCTAAGAAGCCAGTCAAGTCAGCACATCCCTGGCGACAAAAAGAACGAAAGGAC